GGCTGCTAATCTCAGAGTCAGCAGTTCGAAACTACCAGCTGTACCATAGGAGAAAGATGAGGCTTTCTGCCTCCGTGAAGATTTACAGCCTAGGAAACCCTGTACAGGGTCGCTATGAGTCAGAACTGACTCCACGGCACATAACCACCACCACCAAGTATTTATTTTGTTTATTATTAATAGAGGTATATATATTTTTTCCTCATTAAATTTTGTTTTACTGGTTCTCAAAATTCTGTGACAAATTTTTGGGCATTTCCATTTAAAAAGTACTGATTTTAAAAACTAATAACTTAAAACTGCCACACATAAAAGAAAAAATGGTCCACGTAACATTCCTTTCCTTCTGACAGTTTTACAATGCATTATTATCACTAACCAGTTTTTTGCTATTAAATTTAAATGGGCAATTGAAACAAACAGTTCTGAGACCATTCTTGCACCACTGATTAAGACTGGAGTGGCAGGTGTTAAAGGTCCTATTCATTTAGCCTTCTGAGCTTTCTGAGCAGGCTCGATGACTTTGCCAGCTCCAGCAGCCTTTTTATCCACTGCCTTGATGACACCCATAGTAACAGTGTGTCTCATATCACAAACAGTGAAATGACCCAGAGGAGGGTAGTCTGAGAAGCTCTCAACACACATAGGTTTGCCGGGAACCATGTCAATAATGGCAGCATCACCAGACTCCAAGAACTTGGGACCATCTTCTAGCTTATTATCAGACCAGCGATCAATCTTCTCCTTGAGCTCAGCAAACTTGCATGCAATGTGAGCTGTGTTACAATCCAGCACAGGTGCATATCCACCACTGATTGGCCTGGATGGTTCAGGATGATCACCTGTGCAGTGAAGCCAGCTGCTTCCACTGGTGGATCATTTTTGCTGTCACCAGCCACATTGCCACGGCGAACATCTTTGACCGAGACGTTCTTTACATTGGAGCCTACATTGTCCCCAAGCAGAGCTTCACTCAAAGCCTCATGGTGCATTTCAATAGACTTTACTTCAGTAGCAACACTGACTGGAAAGCCTGGTTTGAGAACACCAGTCTCCACTCTGCCCACAGGGACAGTGCCAATATCACCAATTTGGTAGACATCCTGGAGAGGCAGACGCAGGGGCTTGTCAGTTGGACGAGTTGGTGGCAGGATGCAATCCAGAGCTTCAAGCAATGTGGTTCCACTGGCATTGCCATCCTTACTGGTGACTTTCTATTCCTTGAACCAAGGCATGTTAGCACCTGGCTCCAGCATAGTGTTACCATTCCAACCAGAAATCAGCACAAATGCT